CTGAGAGGATAGTGAAAAGGCCATTTGGAAGGTGATGTTCCAGAGCCATGGCAGACAAGGGCTTGGATGAGGACTGTACTCTTGGCACTAGCATTAGTTATTTCTTTTTTGTCATTCAGATGGATTTTGCATCATGGCTGATAACTTAACCCATCATGTAAAATTCTTCCCTGTGGCCTTTTGCCTTGCAACCAGAGGTATCTCTCAGCCAAGTCCCTATCCTAGTAGAGGAGGAGGGGAGTGGTAGAGGGGGGGCGTGTAGTGTGATTTCCTACCTTCGTGCAGCCGGTGGCCTAAGCTTGCCACTGCCATAGTGGAGACTCCACATTTATTTATTGACAATAAAATTTGCAGAATTGTAAAATATTGTGCATAGAATATTTAATTTTTGGTGCCAAATGCCCTCAGGAATATGGAGTGCTGGGTTAATGTTGGGATGGTGGGCAACGTGTATGTGGGGGGGTGTCTGTGGATGAAAGGTCATTGGGCACAGGGATTTGTGGTGATCTCTGGATGAAAGGACCCTAAGAATGGACATTACTGGGCATAAGGGGTCAGGTGATACTGAGCAGGGAGGCAGTGTGGTGGGCACATTGGCAATGCAGGGCTGTGGTTGGGGATGTGGGTTGAAGGGAAGTGCAGGGGTTAGGGTAAAGGCTGCAAAATGGGGTTGGGGCACAATGTAGGAATTAGGTTACAGGAGTTAATGGCAAAGGGGGCACAGGATGGGGTCCAGGATTGGGGGTGCCATGCCTGGGGAGAGGTTTAGGGGTGCCAAAATAGAAGTTTGCCCAAGGCGCCATTTTCCCTAAAGGCCAATCCTGCTGTGAGCCACCAGTATTTGCACAATATTCTTCACTGGCACCAGTATTTGCATAATTAAACAATACTGGCACCAGTATTTGCACAATATTCTTCACTGGCCAATTTGCTGAGCCAAACGTTTACTGTAATAAGAGAATGGGGGGGGGGGGGGGGCAATTGAAGATTAAATTCACTGAGGACCATTCTAATGTGTACTTTCAAAAAAGAGGTGTATTGTAGCATGGTGGCTGGTGTTTCTTGAGATTATGCATGAAAATTCTACAAATTTCTACAAACTTTGGGGAACATTCAGGCTTTTGTTTGTGCTTTCTGGTGGTTTGATTTATCCATTTGATTTAAAATACTTTATTCATATGTATTAAATTGTGATCTAAAGGTTTATGGAGTGTAGGCATCTGTATTAATGACAGTTGAAAAATTATAGTCTTACTGCTAGAGTTATGGTTCATGTGACAGCTTCGTTATATATTTACAGAAAGCAAGAATTTTCAGAAAAAAAATTCTAAGCTGAAATTTGTTAAGCTCCTTGTTTTTGTTAAATGAATAATTCAAGAAAATCTTTTTTTTTTTAAAGTTCCTAATTTTGCTGCAAGCTTAACTCTCAAGTAGGTCAAATACATTTGATATTTAATGGAATTCATTTTCAAAATAATGCTTGTAGGTGATTAAAAATTGCATAGTACACATGCATTACAAACATTTTAGCATCACACTCCAATCAGCAGAGTTTATTTCAATAATTACATATTCTTAAATGTATACTAACGTCTGTTTCTGTATGCATTTCCAGGCGGGACGGTTGAGGAGGGTGGTTATTAGGTGTTTCTAAAAATGCCAGTAAGTGTCTGTACAAGGGTTTCTCCTTTCAGACCACCCCCACACAGTCCCCTGGCATGAGCTGTGCCTGAAGGATCCTTGCCTGAGTTTTCCCTCTGGACTTTTCATCTCTTTCATGGATTCATATGGTGCAGGCCACAATGTGGGTCACTCACAACTCATGATACTCAGTGCCCAAATTATATATAATCTTCATCAGTAACCTAAAGTAAAATGTCAGCAAGACCCTCCTTCACCTTCCTGCACTCAGACTTTTGAGCCTTTTCCACCCTCACCAAAGTGCTAACTCTTAAGCTTTTTCCTCCTACTGCTGCAGAAACCCAAAGATCTTCTGTACCTCCAGGGCTTATTTCTCTCCTAAATGGACCACCAGACACACTAGTCTTCTACCTGCAGTTTTCCACCAGGCACGTCTACTTCTGCTCTAGGCATCTACCTTTAACTCTCCGATTGTCTGTACTTCCCAGAGCAAGCAGTCCCCATTCTGTCACTCTCCCTTTGTCTGAGTCTGCCCAGCCTTTTTATAATGACTCCATGACCTTTTCCCTAGATGGACCCAATAACAGACCATCCCTCTGATCCCTAGTCACTCAGCACCAGCTGGGAGGGTGATTGGCCTATTGAAGGTAAGCAGGCCCAGCAACAGCAATTCTGGGCCTCAGAGCAGAAATCTGGGCCTCAGAGCAGCTTTGAATCAAGAGAATCTTTCTCTAGAGCAAGTAGAAGTACCACTGCAGCAGCCTGGCCCCAAGGCCTTGTTAAATCAGTCAGGACCCCAAGCAATTGTCTTCTATCCATGCTTCCTGCTACTATCTCATCTGGAGGTGAGACTGGGCCTAACTCCTCTTAAAGGGCCAACTAACCTATAACAGTGATGCTATCCACCTTAGGTTCCTTGATACCTTTGAAAATCTGGCTCCATATGCCACATTGGCAGCTTTAACATTGATGGTAGAGGACCCTGCCAGTTTGAAGAACCAGACTATATGTATGGAATATATATATATATGTTAACAGATCGTTTGCACCTTATTTTCCCTGGGAGACTCTCTCTTATCTTTGTAGCTGCCACTGATGTTTCCCTTCTATGTGGTCCTTACAGGACAAAATACCTAAGTGTGCTTTTGCTTTCCATTTTAAAAAAAAACTCATTCTATCATAAGTACTCAGCTAACACCAAAAAAGTGAATAAATTTAGTAGAATTGTTTATATACAAGACACGGTATTAGTGATGTTTAATGTTTCTTAACATTATGTAGAATTTCTATGTTCCTCAACTTTCTGGGTGAGTTTTCCTAGTGATGTTACTAATTTGTATGGAACACTTACATAGTTTGTCCTTTCCTATTTTACTTTTGCTATCGGTGAATAGCATGGCAAAAATCTGTGTTTTTATTAATATTGTTCGTACCTCAATTTATCTGCTTGGTATCATTCTGTCTGATTTATATGGAGTTAACTCAAAAGGGTCTGTAAGGGTCTGTAAAATCTGAAAATGGTCAGAGATTAGACATCCCTGGATTATACCACTTGAAGAGGGGTAAAGGAATAATAATTGGGCCATTGATTGGGAGAGTGCTAAATCCAGGCAATACAGATGCTTTGCCAAGGCTTAGGAGCTACAGTTCCAAGGACATGAATTAGTTTACATGTTTCAAATATTATATTTATGGCACCTCTTTTTATCATTTATCACCTGTATTTTGATATTTTTGCTCTCTGATCATTTGTCTATAACAATCACTCTTTACCTGGTATAAATTAGGTAAAACATAAGTCTGACTTACATCTTTAATTTACTTCTACTGGGTCAGAAGTTCCAGCACAAATTAATCTTTTCTATAGCTACACAGCTCATATGGTGTAGTGCTATGACAAATTAATGTCCAACAGGAGACCATCCTTTCAGACAGGGCTTTGGGATATCTTTGCTTGTGGTCTTCCTAGTGTTTTGTGTGTGCCCTAGAATGTGAGGGAAAGAAATTAGCCTGTAATTTTAGTTATCGTGTGACACATGAATATTTCCTCCTAAGTTAACATTGATGATACGGTACAGGTTGAACCTCTCTACTATAGCACTTTTGAGACCTCATCGTTGCCAAACCAGAGAATTTGCCAAATCACAGAGGTCAATATTGTTTAGCAGCATTACCAACACTTCCAGGGCTTGCTTACTTGGTTCTTAGAAGACATTTAGGGGTAAATTAGAGCTAAATAACAGAACAGAACACTAAGACCCAGGACTGGTGGCTGTAAACAAATTTTATGGGATTACAGGCAGTCCCCGGGTTACGTACAAGATAGGGACTGTAGGTTTGTTCTTAAGTTGAATTTGTATGTAAGTCGGAACTGGTACATATTGTACCCCAGGTGTCCCCGATTTCAGCCGCTGCTGAAACTGACCAGCGGCTGACTACAGGAAGCCCGAGGCAGAGTTGCTCTGCCCCGGGCTTCCTGGAATC